AACAAAGGCTGTTTTTTAACTCAAAATGACAAATTTTTGTATATATTCGTCCCTTCAAACTAAACGGATCGAGTATCCCGTCTGAAAATTTGCACATTAAACCTGAATGCTTCAAAGAATCAAATGTTTTAAACCGCAATGTGAGTCTTGTGCCGCTTTATCGTGATATTTCGTTAAATTTGAAAAAATGTTATTTTTTTACTCAAAAGTGACACATTCCTACATATTTTCGTCTCTTTAAACTAAACGGATCAAGAATTTGATCTGAAAATTTCCCGTAGAGCAAGGAAGCTTCAAAGAATCGAATGCTTCAAACAGAGATCGAATGATTCGAATTGCAATGCGGATTCTTGTGCCGCTTTGGAGTCATGTCTTGTTAAATTTGAAAAAAAAAAACTGTTTTTTTTTAACTCATAAACGACGCATTCCTACATATTTTCGTTTCTTCGAACCAAACGTATCAAGCATTTGGATCGAAAATTTGCCTGTAGAACCAGGTAGCTCTAATAAGAATTGAATGCTTCAAACCGCATTACGGAATCATGTGCCGTTTTGGAGGAATGTATTATTAGATTTGAAAAAAGGCTATATTTTTAACTCAAAAATGGCATATTCCTACATATTTTCCTCTCTCCAAACTCACCGGATGAAGTGTTTGGTCTAAAAATTTGTCCGTAAAAACAGGAAGCTTCAAAAAATCGAATGCTTTAAACCGCAAAGCGGAGTCTTGTGCCGTTTTGAGGTAATGTCTCATTAGATTTAAAAAAAGCTGTACTTTAATTCTCAAACGAAATCTTCGTTTATATTCGTATACCAAACGGGCCAAGTATCTATTGTGAAAATTTGCTCATAGAATTAGAAAGCTTCAAGCAACTGAATGCTTCAAACCACAATGCGGAATCTCGTGTCATTTTCGAAATATTCCTCGTTAAATTTTGGAAAAAGACTGTTTTTTAACTCAAAAATAATGCCTTGCTATATATTTTCGTCTCTCTGAACTAAACAGATCGAGCATCCGGTCTGAAAATTTACTGGTAGAACCAGGAAGCTTCAAGGAATCAAATGATTCGAACTCCAATGCGGAGTTTTTTGGCCTTTTGGAGTAATGTCCCATTATATTTTCGTCTCTTTAAACAAAACGGATCCAGTATTTGGTCTAAAAATTTGCCCGTAGAACCAGAAACCTTCAAAGAATCGAATGCTTCAAACCGCAATGCGCAGTCTTGTGCGGTTTTAGAGGAATATCCCATTAGATTTGAAAAAAGGCTGTTTTTAACTCAAAAATGACAAATTTTTACATATTTTCGTGTCCCCAAACTAAACGGATCGAGTATCCGGTCTGAAACCTTCCTCCTAAAACCAGGAAGCTTCAGGGAACCGAATGATTCAAACTACAATGCGAATTTTTGTGCCGTTTTGTAGTTGACTCGTTAAATCTGAAAAGAGGGTTATTTTTAACTCAAAAATGACACATTCCTAGATATTTTCGTCTCTTCAAGCAAACAGATCAACTATTTGGTCTAAAAATTTGCCCGTAGAACCAGAAAGCTTCAAAAAATCGAATGCTTCAAACCGCAATGTGGAGTCTTGTGCCGCTTTATCGTTATATTTCGTTAAATTTGAAAAAAGGCTATTTTTTTATTCAAAATTGACCCATTCCTACATATTTTCGCCTCTTTAAACTAAACGGATCAAATATTTGGACTGAAAATCTGTCCGCAGAACGAGGAAGCTTCAAAAAATCGAATGCTTCAAACAGCAATGCTGAGTCTTGTGCCATTTTGGAGTACTGTCTCAATAGATTTCAAAAAAGGCTGTTTTTTAACTCAAAAATGAGAAATTTCTATATATTTTCGTCTCTTCGAACCAAACGTATCAAGTATTTGCTGTGAAAATTTGCCTGTAGATCCAGGAAGCTCCAAGAATTGAATGCCTCAAACCGCAATGCGGAATCTTGTACCGTTTTGGAGTAATGTCTCATTAGATTTGAAAAAAACTGTATTTTAATTCTTAAACAAAATCTTCGTTTATATTCGTTTCTATATACCAAACGGATCAAGAATCTGGTTTGAAAATTTGCTCATAGAATTAGAAAGCTTCAAGCAACTGAATGCTTCAAACCACAATGCGGGATCTCGTGCCATTTTTAAAACAAGCCTCGTTAAATTTTGGAAAAATGTTTTTTAATTAAAAAATTATGTATTTCTATATATTTTCGTCTCTCCGAACTAAACAGATCGAGCATCCGTGCTAAAAATTTACTTGTAGAACCAGGAAGCTTTAAGGAATCGAATAATTCAAACCGAAATACAGACTCTTGTGACGTTTTGGAGTAATGTCAATTATATTTGAAAAACTACATTGCGAATTCATGTGCCGCTTTGTAGTTATGTCTGGTTAAATTTGAAAAAAGGTGATTTTTTAACTGAAAAATGGCACATTCTTACATTTTTTTGTCTCTTTAAACTAAACAGATGAAATATTTCGTCTGAAAATTTGCCCGTAGAATGAGGAAACTTCAATGAATCGAATGCTTCAAACAACAATGTCGAGTCCTGTGCCATTTTGGAGTAACGTGTCAATAGATTTGAAAAAAGGCTGTTTTTTAACTCAAAAATGACAACTTTCTATATATTTTCTTGTCTCCAAACTAAACAGATCGAAAAATTTGCTCTTAGAACAAGGAAGCTTCAAGGGATCGAATGATTCAAATTGCAATGCGGATTCTTGTGCCGCTTTGGAGTCATATCTCGTTAGATTTGAAAAAAAAACTGTTTTTTTAACTCAAAAATGACACATTCCTACATATTTTTTCGGACCAAACGTATCAAGTATTTGGTCCGAAAATTTGCTTCTAGAACCAGAAAGCTCCAAGAATTGAATGCTTCAAACCGCAATGGGAAATCTTGTGCCCTTTTGGTGGAATGTATCATTAGATTTGAAAAAAAAAAACTATTTTTAATTCAAAAATGACAATTCTATACATTTTTGTCTCTCCAAACTAAACGAATCCCGTATCCGATCTGAAAATTTCCTCCTAGAATCAGGAAGCTTCAAGGGATAGAATGATTCAAACTGGAATGCGGATTCTTGTGCCGCTTTGGAGTTATGTCTCATTAAATTTAGAAAAAGGCTGTTTTTTAACTCAAAAATTACACATTCCTACATATTTTCGTTTCTTCAAACTAAACGAATCGAGTATTTGATCTAAAAATTTACCCGTAGAATGAAAAAGCTTCAAGGAATCGAAGCTTCAAACCGCAATGCACAATTTGGTGCCGTTCTGGAGTTATCTCTTGTTGAATTCGACAAAATGTGCATTTTCACCGACAGAAGAAATCTTTTTATGCATTCGTGTCCATATACCTCGCTAAATCGATCGAGTATCTGGACTCAAAATTTGCTAATAAAACTAAAAAGCTTCAGGGAATAAAATCCTTTAAAATACAATAGGCAATCCTGTGCCTTTTTGGAAGTATGTCTCATAATTTTGCAAAAATACTACAATTTTCATACACAGGATGTTTACAAAACAAGCGGCAAAAATTCAGGGGATTATTCTTGGTTGTTGGTGATTCTTCCACAAAATTTCGTTATGCCTCCTAGAAATTCCGGTAGAAATAGCGGTTTTAGTTTTACTTTACTTTTATCTTCGAAATAAAATAACTTTCCGAAAATTATTCAAGGACAAAATTTTTTTAATGGGACAGTCAGTATACTAACCAACTTGGCTTGACTTATACGTATTATTTTGACAAAAATAACAATAATTAGACTTAGTTCAGCAAAATTTACAGTTTATGTAATACATACGAAAAAAACGCAAATTCATTCCCTTAAAAACATCGATTAAGTACTTCATCGAAAATATTTAGCTCTTTTTTTTAGAATTATACTCATAAAAGAAATATGTTACTGTTATATTGTATATATTGATGTATAGAAATCACTATTAATATACATCTTTATTGAGAAACATACGGTAGGCATTTACGATGACATTATTGAAAATTAGTATAGGTCAAAATAATTTTAGACCACAAAATATCGATTCTGAAAGCATTGGGTCAGATCCAACTTAAACTTTCAATAACTTATAAAGAAATATCAGCGAATTTTGTTTTCGCCTCTATACAGAATTATTCAGAAAAGCTTCTAAAAAATCAAAATGCAACCAACAATACACACGTTTTTGATTTTTATCATCTTTTTTTAAGTAAAACGCAGCTGTTTAGTTTCCATAATTTGGAAATAAACATCCATTTTCTGGTCAAAAACAAACAAATTCAAAACAAGAACTTTGAAAAACTAATTTATCTTCAAATCATGGCAGTAAATATTCTAAATGTTGTCCTTACTGTCCTCATCAAACTTAAATCAAAATCATGAGTATCTTTTCTTCGTTTTAATACATTTTGCATCAGTTCTGCCGAAATATCCATTTTAACACGATAGCATCTGATATTACGGACTATATTTTGAAATTGTATTTCTGGTTACGTTTTGAACTTTTTATACGTGCAGAGCTTAATGTTATATAATAATTACTTAATCGAAAAACACCCAATTTGATTTACTGCCAATAAAAATATATAAAAGGAGTCCTCATCTTACCTGTTGCTATTTTTCTTGCCATTTTCACCTATGGATGTAAAATGAATTTATTCTGGAAAAAAAGGTGTCTGGTCTTCTATGAAATATTACTAACATGCAATAAAACATTACAATTAAAAAAAAACAAAATATCTTACTGAAATTCCACAAAAATTCTCATATTCAACATAAAAATTAACATACATGACACTTCATATTTGCCGCTTTGCTACCCAACAGCTTAGGTGCAGTCTTTCATCAAAAAATTTCGAAAAGTTTCACAGTTTTTGTCCTACCTCGAATTATATTATCTTATATGAAACCCAAACTAGCACCAAAATGTCCCCTAAAAAATCACACACAAGCTCACGTCCTCCAGTCCCAAACGGTACCAGCAAAACACAAGATGGAAAAAAATAAATAATACTTTTTATTTTAGGGTCGAAAACAGTACAAACAGAATACAATAATAAAGATTTGAAAACACAAAAATTCGTAAACGCCTAAACTACGAATACAGAAGTCTTAAAAATGAGATAAATGTCATAACCATAGCATAACATAACATTATTGACTTGATTTAGGACTTGCCGTTAACGTAGGCGACCCAGGCGCAGCCTTACTCGAACAGGCATGCCCTTCACACTTAACTTTAAAAAACCTCAAAAGCGGACTCTGAGGCGAGGAACATTTTTTTGGTGTGGAATCCAATCTAGGTACTTTCGGCGGGTTGGAAGTGGAGGCGCCATCCAGAAAATCCTTTTTAAATTTCCGTTCGATTCGAATTTTGGTCAACCAGTCCTGATCTCTCCGCTTTTCCGGCGAAAAATTCAAATGGGGCGCTACACCATCAATTACGAAATTGGGTAAATTTAAAGTCGGGATTTTCTTTTCTGGATCGTCTTCGGGAATTGGTGATAAGTTACTGGTGGTGTTGTCATCTAGGAGATTGTGGAATAGGCGACGTGGTCCTAGTTCTGTATGGTGTCGTTTAGTTTCGTTGGGGATTTCTTCTTCCTGTTTTCTTTTTAAGCCGCCAAAACAGTTTTGGCAAAAGTCGTTTGTCGAGGGGCTGTCGCATTTTTTACACGGGATTATTAATTTTTTAGGGACTGTTGTAAGTTCGTCGTTTGATCGTTTCAATTTAGATTCAACTGGTATCAGTGGAAGGACTTCCGCTTTTCCTTTGCCTATTATTTCCCAGTTGTCTGGGAGTTCTTCAGGTCCAATTCGCCAAATTCTATGGGACATATCGTCGGAACATGTTACTACAGTGACGTCATCTCTTTCACACCAAGCAACGCAAGTGACCTCAGCAACGTGTCCCGTTAGCTTCACAACAGGTCGGGAGGAATTTGTATTCCAGATATATGCATTTTCATCACTACTACCACTAATCAAATACATTCCGTCTCTGCTTAGAGAAGCTTTAATGTAAAAAGTGCTATTCTGATGTCCCACATATTTCATAACAGGTTCTGGGTTGTAAGTGCCTATATTATAGCTATATATGGTATTATCCAAGCAATTAGCGTACAATTTAACACAGTCCTTGTCAATAATCAAGCTACTAAACCCATTCTTCGTCGTAGACCCTCCATACGGAATTTTATTTTTTGGTATAGGTTCATGTTTATAAAATAAATAATTTTTCCGCAAATCCCAAATTTTTATAACCCCATCACCCGCCCCACAAGAAATCAAAGTATTGTCATCTTGGAACACTAACCCAGTCACAGACTTAGCATTAGAAGCCCTCGACGGACTCAAACAAATACATTTTTTCCTAGTTTTACTCGGCGTGGTCTTAGTATTATGCGAATTCAAAATCGTCCTATCAACCTTCCCTATAAAACTACCCCCTTGCGTTCGAGTGTCCCACACTATTATATTTCCATCTCTACCCCCCGTCGCAAAAACGCTCGGATCCTCTTTCCTAAACGCGATAGTCTTCACCGACCTCGTGTGTCCATAAAACGCTTTAATTTCCCTCACATCAGCGTTAGAAACATCGAAAAGCTTTGCTGTGTGATCGCCCGAAGCTGTGACTATTTTCATGTTTTCGAACATCCACGCTAAATCGAAAATGGCGTTATTGTGGGCGCGGATACCGTAGGGCTCCTGCTTTTTAGCGGTGTCGTGGATGGCGAGTTTGCCATCTTCGTTAGCTAATGCTAGAAACGTCTCATTGCTTTTTTGTTGAGCAAACTTACACGCGAATATGGGGGTGTCACAAATGACGTCTTCTGTGGGGAGGAGTTGAGTGTATTCTTCTTCTTTGGGGCAACGAAGCCTCTTGATTATGTCGTCGTAATATTTCCATCGCGCTACAAGGGTCACCGGTTATTTTTGGGTTGTTTTTGATGACGAAAGCGCTTACCTATTCCGTACTGTTGCTGGAAGAGCTTTTTTGAACTATCCATGGTGCGTTTTTGTGCTTAAAACACAAATTGAGATCAATGTTGTCAGTTGTTGATGTTTCTAGAATCTTAGGTTAGGGCGGGAACTGACATTTAGGTTAAAAAATCGAATTCCCGTTGCTTTTGCTCTCTGTCGGTTATGAATATGGTTCACTTGGGGTGAAAAGAGATAGAGCTTTGAATTTAAAGGGAGGGAATATGGCGGATTCTAGTGACAATTTTAGCAACTTTCGGATTTCAACGCAGGAAACTTTTTATTTCAATTTAGCCAAGTTTTTTTATTTTTTATTTTTCATGATATTCATTGTCTGATCAGTGTTTCATGACTAAAAGAATCTGATTTCTTTTATTAAAAATTGTGTGTAATATTGGTTGCCTATACACGCTACTGAAAAATTTTAAATAAAAAATATTAAATTAAACTTAGGAGTATATTATATCAATAGAATGGAATTATTAATACTATTATTATTATTGTTCATGCTCCAAATAATTCTTAAATAAGTACATCTGAACGTCGGGATCTGAAGAAATGAGATTATTATTTTGTATATAAGAAAGTAACAGCTGTTACTGGTTCAAAATGTTTATCTAAATTTCATGATCAAGATTTGATTTGAAGTGTTTGTGTCACACTTCAAATACTATCCAAAGTTTAAGAATATTCCTAACAACAAACTGAAGTGTTTGTTGAACTTTTCCTGTGGAAAATTATTTTATTATTCATATTTATTTATATATTAAGTATTACTTACCTAGTAAGTATTAGTTTTTGAACCTTTTTACTTATTTCTCACATTCTCCTCATTTATGAACATCTAAAAAAGTGCTTATCCAAGTTGATTTTAAATATATTTTTTTATTTATTTAAATACGACAACACAACACAGTTCATTAACACTTAAAAATCACGCGATAGAGGAAATCTATAGATAAGAGGGTCCTTTCTCAAGTTAAGTATTTTTATGTTTATTTAAAATACTTGTAATTTAGATACTTGTATACCTAAGTATGTGATCATATCAACCAGTATCAAACAAATTTTTAATTCAACAGCAAGGAAGTACGCAAAATTTTAAGTTCTACTCTAAAGAAAATGATCAATAGACTTAAAATCACCACGTTGACCATATTTCTTGTTGTCAATACATTATCACCAACATGCTGCAAGGATTGTAAGTACTCCTAGAATTCACGGTTAGCTAAAATAACAAAAATCCTTTTAGTATTTTCAGCCACTCTTGGACACATTAAACCTAAAGCCACCCCCGAAACACAAGCAGCCGCCGCTCAAGATGTAATTTCCAGAATTATCCCCGAATTAGCGTCTTCTTTCTCCGTAGTTGTAGACCCGGATTTAGGCGAAACCGACGTGTTTCAGGTAAGTTTCCACCCTAACAACTTCAAATTCACCAGTACTACGCCAACAGTTACAAAAACAAGATAACCTAATTCAAATAACTGCCACCACCGGTGTAGCCGCCGCAGCTGGTTTTAACTACTACTTAAAGTACTACTGCAACTGCCACGTCTCATGGGAAGCCTCTCAATTGAATCTACCAGAAGATCTACCAGACGTGGATATCACAGTACCGTTTAACGACAGATTCCGGTACTACCAGAATACCTGCACAACTAGTTATAGTTTTGTGTGGTGGGACTGGACTCAGTGGGAAAAGCACATAGACTGGATGGTCCTAAACGGATTCAACCTAGTTTTGGCTTTTAATGGTCAAGAAGCCATCTGGGAACGCGTCTATCGACGTTTTAATCTGACTCAGGAAGAAATAGATGGACATTTTTCTGGTCCTGCGTTCCTGTCGTGGCTGAGAATGGGAAACATGCGGGGATGGGGCGGTCCTCTATCCCCTGCGTGGCACTCTAGGTCGATAGCTCTACAGAAGCAAATTTTGGAAAGAATGAGAAGTTTGGGGATGATTCCAGTTCTTCCGGCTTTCGCTGGACATCTTCCAAGAGCTTTCAAAAGGTGGTAAATGGATTACTAAGACAGTGGGTTCAATGAGAGTTTTTAGGTTGTACCCTGATGCAAATATGGACATGATGGGGGCGTGGGTAGGGTTTGATGACGCTTATTGTTGTCCCTATTTCTTGGACCCGACTGAAACCCTTTTTAACGAAATTGGAAGAGCATTTATGGATGAAGTAATTATTATTAAATTATGATTTGGAAATATAACCCCTATTTGTAGCAAATAAAAGAATTTGGAACCGACCACGTATACAACTGCGACAGTTTCAACGAAAATAGACCTACGTCCGAAGATGTAACATATCTGTCAAATGTGGGCAAATCAATCTACCAAGCAATGACTGATAGTGACGCTGATGCCATTTGGTAATTAAACATGCGTTATTTTCCCTCACGCTTTTTGTGTTTCTTCAGGATCTTGCAAAATTGGCTCTTCGTTAACTCTCCGAGTTTTTGGACGGTGGAAAGGGCTCAAGCTTTATTAACTTCCGTTCCTATTGTATGTCTAATTTACTCTTACGCCGTCAATAAACGTATTTTGTAGGGAAAAATGATAGTTCTAGATCTACAGTCAGAATTTTCCCCGAAATACGACGACTTAGACCAGTATTTTGGCCAACCATACATCTGGTGTATGTTACATGACTTTGGTGGCACCTTAGGGATGTTTGGTTCGTCTTCAGTTATCAATGAAGTAATGATCACATCCATTCCGACTTTTATTGTTTGCAATTTTGGTACTTTCAGGCGCCACACACTGCACGCAACGAAGAAAATAGTACCATGATAGGAACGGGTCTCACGCCGGAAGGAATTAATCAAAATTACGTTATTTATGAGTTAATGACGGAAGCTGCTTGGAGAACCTCTCCAGACAATTTAACAGAGTGGTTTGAAAATTACGCGACGAGAAGATACGGCTTTGCAGACGACAACGCAAAAGAAGCGTGGAGAATTCTTCAAGTACACGAAACATATTTTTATTCGCTAGCTATAACCCTTTGTTTTAGAGGACCATCTACGAATTCAAAAATAGGAATTATGGACAATATGTCATCATTAACTCCCCTAGTTTTTCTCTATCAACGGGAGTAATTTACCAGATTTTATTAATTCAATCAAGTTTAACAAACGTTGATTTACAGACTTGGTACAACACTAGCGACCTATTGGACTCCTGGACTTATCTTTTGGCAGCAGCTGATAATTTAGCAAATAGTGCGGGATATTTGCATGATTTGGTCGATGTCACGCGTCAGGTCTTCCAAGTTTATGGTGATGCGTTCTATAATGGACTGTACACGTCATTCAACGGAGGCGACCTACATTCTTTTGAGTAAATTGAACACATGTTGAGTTGTTGTGGCATAATTAACTTCCTTGTAGTTATTACGGTACGACAATTCTTGACATGTTTGCTGATTTGGAATTCATTTTGGTGACCAATGAAGCTTTTTTGCTGGGACCTTGGGTTCAGTCAGCTATGAATGCAGCTGCTGACGTTGATGAAGAAAGACAGTTTCAACAAAATGCCAGAAACCAGATTACCTTGTGGGGGCCTAGGGGGGAGATTCTGGATTATGCTGCCAAGCAATGGGCGGGTGCGCAATAGATTGATCGTCCGTACTAACAATTTTGGTTACTTTTGGTATTTTTTAGGGGTTATTTCAAAGTATTTTGCCCCCAGATGGAAATTATTCGTAGAATATGCCAACGAAACTTTAACCAGTGGCGGCTCATTTGATCAGTCTTACATAAGCGGCAAAATTTTTGACGAGGTTGAGCTCCCATTTACCTACGACGAATCAGTGTTGCCGGTTGTACCAATAGGTGAAGTAGAATATTTTTGCATTACTTTGACTTGACATTTTCACTTCTAGGAGACACAATAGAGACTGCAAAAGCTCTATATGACAAGTGGATGCCAACACTAAAAACCATGGAAAGTCTAATCAACATGAAGAAGTAATTGACGTTGTAGGACCTCTATCTATCTCTACCTAGTTTGAAATACATGTACAACACAATAATTTTACAATTTATTAATTTCTTAAAAAAATATCCGTCTATACAAATTGGGAATATGTCGTAAAACCGTAATGTAATATAAAACAAGTTATAAAACTCAAAATAATTAAAATCAACAACAGCAAATCAAGCACAATGTACGTACAGTATAATTTAATTATAAAACATTTATCAATATATTATTAAAGCTGCAAAATGTACAAAATAGAGTAAACATCAACCCGACATCCACGATTCCACAGATTTTGATATTTACTCGTGGTGTAAGTATTCTTACGATACATACGTAAAGCTTTATGTTTACAGAGAATCTAAAATACGAGTTTGATAATAAATAGCTAATACCTAAAGTGCCCTTTCTTAGCTCGTCCGTTATGGTAGACCCTTAGAGGTGTATAAGAACCATTTCCGTTCATACCTTGAAGCAAAAATCGTAACATTCGTTTTAAAATGAAAGTGGACTTACTTTGCACGACGGATGGTGCTGGATAGGGTGGGACCTGAAGACGCTCTGGATAGTACGGCTTCAAATAAAGGTGGTAAACAGCGAAATACACAGCGGCGATGATAGCAGCTGCGATTGCGAAACCAGCATATACTGGACCGTGGTTATCTGGGTACTTCACTTTTTCGGGGTACAACGTATAGGCGCACCTTCCAATCAGAGCCCCGAAACAACGACCTACAAGAACCATTTAAAACCACCCAATTTACTAACTGATTAAGAACCAACCTAAGCAAAAGTGAGCAATAACTGGCAGTGCTTGTCCACAGGCAGTGAATTTCCTTGGAACCAAGTGTCTTAAGTAAAGTATGGAAGTTATCCACATTAGGTGAAGAGTGAAGATTTCCAAAATTTCAAAGATGAGCAGTATTGATGCCTCCGTGGTGTTAGCTAAAGCTACATAGTGAACGATGTAGCTGACGAAACACAGAATGAGTATGTTTGAATGATTGCAGTAATCGACGACTTTCTCTGCGAATGTGAAGAGAACCGCTGCAGGAATGGCTGCCATGGTTAGTGTTAGACCTATTATTAAGTTTGAGCTGCCAGTCATTGTGGCCGCGTTCCTACAACATTACAAATTCAGCAACCCAACCCGTGAAAACATTTTCGCATTTACCATGGCAAGTAAGCATCTATGGCGTTCCACAGAATCCCCAATATAAATAGAACAATTCCTAGAGATATAATTTCGTTTTGGTACTTCCGCACAGAAGACATAGGTAGGGCCAGTAGTCCACATCTCGTGTGCCACCACCACTCAGGTGGGCTCAGAGGCATATTGCTGTTGATTGCACACATTACTCATTTGAATCGTTTAAAATAAATTACCTACTTGTCAAACAATAGAATTAGAATGGCAAGAAGCATCAACACCGTGAAGCAAATCATAGCGTCCCGTAAATTTCCATCGGCGCACCCTCCAATAATAGGTGCGAAAATCGCAAAGCCTAGTGCACCTGCTGCCAGCTGTTTACCCACATCGCCTCTTCCTGTTGACGTTTCCCTCGTGGCTATCACTATAGCCGTACTCAAAAGCGCCACTGCAGCTGCGGGAAAGATATCAGCGATAGATCTTATAATAAGATACAGCCAGAAGCTTATATTATTATAGCCACATTCAGACTTTTTCAATAAACTATTCGTGTTGTTAACATCGTAGGGATCGTAAATTGCACATAAAACAACCGGTTGGCAGTTTGGATCTTCGTTAGCTTTCAAGTCTTTAACGATTTCTTGTGGCATTCTGCAGTGGAAGTAATCAGCTGTAAAGGAAGTCATTAATGGGTGAACACTTTGCATTTGACTATATTTACCGACTGGGTATGTGCAAATATCATTGTCTGTTTCGTTAACTATTGCACTTGATACGGATGGTTTTAGACCGACGTTGAATTCGACGTTCTTTGAATATTTTGTGTATACCTCACACACAGTTACGTCCTTCTGGTTCTTGTAACACATGTGTGGACTGAGTACGATGCCTGGGTTGTTGCGGTTTCTGCTGTTGGGTGCTGGGGTGGTAGTCGTCGTGGTGGTTGTAACCTTAAACATGTACTCATAAGTGAGTGTGAGGCACACATACTTTTATAGTTACATCAATTTCGGCCTCATTGTTTACAACAATGCTTTCGCTGGTATCGTCATAGTTATAGTCTTCAGTTGTGGGCTCGTTACTCTCTTGAGCTTTGGCTAGAGGAGAGTCCTCTGATTCTCCTAAATACTCAGTAGTTGCGTTACATGTAAACACACAGTCTTTTAAATAAACTGGACCTTCCTGTGAAAATTGTATCAGTATTGAACCCTAGCGTTATCACTGTAACTAACTTCACCGTTCCAGTTGTAACACGTTCTGTCATGTCCGCAGCGGTTTTGTAATATGTAACCACCATTTTCGTTACATACGAAAGTAACATTTGGAGGACTTCGTTGCTGAAAATTAAGTTAAGTTAAACCGTGGAAAATTTTAAGATTCTAGAACTAGTTCTAGTTTTCACAATTTAGTTACATCTTCGATTAGTACTTACAATGCGTGGCACAGCAAGAAGAAGCCAGTACAGAATAGTTGCTAGAGCCAGACATACTGATATCATCACCCTGAGGTACCGTCCAGTCTTGCTCCTTGGCGCTCCTCCAAATCCTCCTGCTAATCTATCAGCTAACGGTGCTGCTACTAAAGGGCCGATTATCGCTACTAACGGTGCTACTATCGAAATTATAGTGAACTCGTCTCTGGATAACCCAATGCCATTCATATGGTTGGGCAAAAAGGGGAAAAGGCTTCCCAAAGCTACAATTTTGGCGTTACACATATTTATTCAAACGAACTACAGCAACTTACCCCCGAAAAACAAAAACAGAACACATTTCAGTGTTATAAGATTCTTGTTGCATTTCATCTTGATGCCTACACTATCACAAACTTTTTCAAAAATTTCATTTCTTCTTTTTTCGGTTCATCTGTCGTATGTCTTCGTCGAATCGTTCATCTGTAAAACAATCACAATTAGTCCCTCTGTGTTACTTTTCGAGGACACTGACTTCAAATGCCACAGTTTAGTAAACGTTAACGCGATAATGAGTGCAATTTTGGAGAATAGAAGCCACCTCGCGCGTACACACTGAGATCCGACTGGATCTGCTTGTGGCAAGTTCAATAAAAATTTGCCACTTTAGTGCTAACTCGGTGATGTAATGTTAATACTAGTAGATGTCCTTGTGCCTTTGGTCTACATTTAGTGCATTTCATGCTTTCGTTTTCGCACAGAAAACCGAAATGTGGAAAACTAATTAAAAGTAATTGTATAATAAAAAATGAAGTCATGTAGTAAAAATTCCGTATTTATGTGAAAATTTTAATGAAGAGAAAGGCCGATAAACATGCAAGGAGAAAACAAATCGATACAGGCATGATGTCATCGTTTGTAAATAGACGTGCAGTCAAAATGAGGATCGGTCAACCACCATGCTGTTGCAACACAGGTTTTCAAAAAATAACCGTGACGAAATCTCGACGGGGGAAAAAAGTCTACCCACAAGCGATTTAGCTTGATGAGCTCAGACTCTTGGATGGGCATTGTGTATTCAGTGAGAGAAACGATCCAGTCTTGGCTTGACCGGCATTATTTCGCTATTACATCACAAGCCCAAGGCTAAGACAAAACGGAAATAATTAATTACAATGGGAGATACAACTGCCAAAAGTTTTAAGGCGGTTTAATAGCTTTGTTGTCGTAAATACTGGTAAAGATTGGAACTGGACTTTCGCAGTAGAAACAATTTCTTGTTAATTTTAATAAGCGGGTTCTTTGTTGATTGATCTGGATACCACAGGTATGGTAGGATTTGGGTCACAAGAAAGACTGTATACACAGCACACACGTAAATTAATGGAGCTCATGAAATTAAGTGTGCACATGATAGGTCGAGGTTATCCATTTCGATGTCAATGAACGTATTATGCCGAAGTTTATTTAGTACTCTGTACGGGACTTCAAGTATTCAAAGTTACTTTCTGAGGTGTTTTGTGCGCTGGCGAAAAGTTGTAAACTTAGTAACAGGTGGTTAATGTACACGAATTCTATTTTTCATCAAAAATAATCCTCAAATCTAATTTCGGAACAAATAGAACTAAAATGACGACCGACCTGTTTACCCATTTCGTAAACACAAAATGTTACGATGTGGTTTGGATTTTGTGAAATTACGATAACTCTTGATATTTTACGAAGACGGCTGCTTAATCGCTTTCATATTTAAATTAAAATTTGAAAAAACATGGTATACGAGTGTTGTTGTTGCAATTTTTCTAAAGATAAATAACTGGGACAAATATCAATAGTCATGGCTTTTAACCTCGAAAGGTTGATAGCTGATAATTAAATCTTAGTTGAGCGTAACTTTAGCTATATAAACATTATTGTAGTCAATCTTTTGTTTCTACTTCAAAAGATCTTCGTGACCAGCGTCATTCATAGCTTCACGTCTACTGAAATAATTTTTGCATACCTTGAAAGTTGTCTTCTTTTTATGTCTGCAACAATATTGATAGATCTTGTGGTTAGTGTTACCACATTACACACACACCACATTATATTTTAACGCTTTTATTATTACCCTTTATAAATACTCGTGGTTATTTTCTGTTATCACGTCACATATTTAGGTTCTTTGATATTGGTGTACGTAATATTTTGTTCAGGAAGTTTATAAATGTAAAACATGTTGCCCCCACAATTTCACTGTATCAGGAAAAAGTTCCCTTGTGGCTTCAAACATTTTCCTGTTGTTTACATACATTCAACAAAGAAAAAACGAAAGTTCCGGAAGGTAAGAAAACTTTGGTTTTTAATAATTCATGAAATGAATACAAGAGAACAAAGAGATGTTAATAGCAAGGTGTTCTCATTCTCACTGCAAAAATTTAGGTGGTGATTCAAATTTCGCCTTACTCTTCTAGGAAAACACCTCGAAATTCTACGTTAAAATGATACCATCATTTCCTTGCAAAAAATTGATGACTCAGTTCCAATGTGCAATGAACGTATTTATTCATTTGTGGTTGAACAATCCGTCACTATTTTTCATTTTACCTAATAAAAGTATCAAATTTAGCAGTTTATGTCAGACATTACTAAGCAAAATTCTTCGAAATATTAGTACGACTAGATGACTATATCAAGATTATAGAAAAATAATAATTGAAATGATTTATGCATTTCCTCTATAAAGCTGATGACGCCATCTCGAAAAATGTATTAATTAATTTGACATGTTATATCCGTTGCAGGGAGAAAAACAAGCTTACTTTTTTCATCAAAATGACAGTCCCAAGGATTAAGCATCCGGAACGGTTTGTTTTGTGCTTGGATCTCTTATTTTTACGTTTTATTCGTCTGATAATGTGCTGGCGTTAATCCAGTACATCCAATAAAACAGTTTCCTGCCTGCAATAAAAATTTGATTCTAGTTATTTCTCGTCTTGTAAAGCAGCATAGTACATATGAACGTTATTTTTCGTCAAATTTAACCCATTTATCTTAATTTTTAGTATTCATTAAAATTTACCTCAATCCACTATTAATTTCAAATATAATAAGGCCTTGATTGAGAAAGAAAAAATGTAAAATCTGCACAAGCTTAAGCTGCTCAAGGATCAACGTCGACCATTTATGGATAACTCGGTTTTGATTAATCAGTTCAAGTGTTAATGTTTTACTGCGTATTACGATCTGGTGTTGACAGTTCTGAGGCGTTGCCACATTTAATGGTACCTGAAGATCACCTTAATATCGATTTTATTGTTAAAGCATCTAGATTTTTCTTTTAGAGATTTTAATTTAACGTGAGGGATCAGACGATTTAAAATGGTCGAAGTTTTGGTTTTTCGAATTTTATTGTTTTTTATGGCAACTATTATTATAAGCTAAAAAAATATGTATCTAATATGTTTGAGTAAAGGTAAAGAAACGTGCTAACCGTTTGCTACAAATGAGTTTTTCTATTACAAAATTTTATGTTGATATCCACATTTTTGCAAGGACGTATATATTAGTTTGAATAGTTGCATTGTAATACTAACAATAAAACTATTGTATTATTGTTATTCTTGAATGGTAATTAATAATCAATAGAATAACGAAACAATTTAGTCACGTCTGCCGTACGACTGAAGACTGCACTGAAAATCATTTATGGTACTCGTAATTTAAGACAAATACCGATAACACTTATCAACCTGTAGACGTGACAGTGAAGCAGAAACTAAACTAAAAGATATTTTCTACGAATTGCAGTAACCGGATCACAATGCCGACGGTCCAGACTTTTTTATTGCTCTGACTTCCGCTTATTGAATAAAACACTACATTTGATTATGACTTTCGATAATGTAATTCACGTTTGGTTAATTATAGCTTGTCTAGATCTAGGGGAGACTCCGCATTCCCTAGCCTCCCCCTAACTACGGCCTTGTCTAGGGGTTATGAAACATTGAAAAAATATGAAAGAACCAAATTACCCGATGGACTCCATTACTGTACGTCCTTAGCTTATCCTTGATAAGAAAAACAAGTTGAAAGTGTTTGTGTTTATGTTTATACATCGGAAGAATGTCACGTAGAAATTAGTTTGATTTGAATGAGTTCGTTGTCTCAATTATTTTTTGTTCTTGTATCAAAATATATCAATAACTTTATCAAAATTTACTGCTGGTGTTGCTTGGGTAACACATTTTTGTATGAAAAAATTCGCCGAAGATTATTTCAACAGAACTTCCTTCGTCTCTGAAGTACAGTACGCTTTATTCAACTTTTCGAACATTTTTAAAAATTTTATGATAACCCGCATATGTTAAAATAAAGATATGTGCGTAGTAAAGTAAGAGTAGGTACGCTATTCGCATGTTTCAACTGAATTTTTTGTGAAAACGTCATTAACATTCTTGCAAGGATACGTATATCAATTTGGTTAAGTGGAGTGTAATACTAACAATAACAGTACCATATTCCCAAATAAACAATTGTAATTAAGGTGTTACTCATAATCACAACAACCATACACAAAAAACAGTGGATTTTGCATTGATCCAAAAACATTTTTCCAAGAAACCGTAAACTCAGAACAGGAAGCGGAGATGGCAAAAAAATATTTCTTAGCATTTTGTAATTAAAGACAAACGAGATTTTCTTAATGGCAGAAAATTGGCCCAAGATTATTTATATTCCGTGAATCCAATAAAGTTATATTCTCTCCAAAGATTATAAAATCAAAATAATGGCACAGGCGACAAACAGATGAAAACGCGGGACCTACTTTTTCCTACTTCATAGGTCATCAAAAAGTAAAAAAGTTATTTCGCTATCAAAATATTTGTCATTTGTTGTATTTGTCTTGTAAATGGTTACAAAGTAAATTAATACACAATTATTGATCACCGTCAAGGAAAGTATAAAAAATGTCGTCACAACTGTCGTCGTCGATAACCTTTCACCTTAAATTTGTCTTCATATCATATTAACTGCATTAATCTAAAAATATTTAATTTTTAAATTTACTTAATGTAGTAATATTAAAACAGAAATATCGTATTATTAGATGATGTATAAATTAAATTATATATCATATCTTTATAATATTATTACTGCAACTAAGTAATTATTGAAACAATGACTACGAAAGATTTATTTCTGCAAAGTCCACACACGGCAATATCACTCCGCACCCTTCCGAGTAAATATTTGATACGCCTATGGAATGCGATTTATGCGAGGCAATATCCGAAACAGTTCACGAAATGGTGACAGTAATTCAGAAGGTGGTCAGCTGATGCAGTTAATCCAGATGAGAGATAATGTAACAATGCGGACAGTGGCATAATAGAAAGACAATTGGAAGAAGTTTTTATAATCTCTACAAATTAAAATAAAAAATACAGGTGGACTATGAAATCACAGGCGAAGAAACAAAACATGACGTCATCAACTTTTTA